CTCTCCCCGCTACTCTCCCCTCTTCTCTCCCCTCTTCTCTCCCCGCTACTCTCCCCTCTTCTCTCCCCTCTTCTCTCCCCTCTTCTCTCCCCTCTTCTCTCCCTTCTTCTCTCCCCTCTTCTCTCCCCTCCCCTCTTCTCTCCCCTCTTCTCTCCCCTCCCCTCTTCTCTCCCCTCTTCTCTCTCTTCCCCCTCATATTTTATAGAATTTACCAACACAATATCCATATAAGGCAGAAGATCACGTTGAAGATCTTTCTGATTAAATGTGGAACGATCAGGAATATCTCCAATCAATAATTCAACAACAATAGCCATTTTTGTAGCCTAAAATTTATTAAAAATGATGAAGGAAACTTTTGTATTTTTATATAAAAAAATAAAGCATAAACTCCTCTCAAAAAAAGCGAATCCAATAGGAAATACAACGAATCAAATACTAAAAGAGAAGGAAAAAAAATTCTACAGAGTTCAAATTCTATTCCCTCTATTTTATATCAACAAATGAAATTGTAGAGAAAATTACGACAATGGAAAAATTTTTTAAAAATGGAGAAGAGGAAAAAAATGGCTTTACGGTTGGAAAATTCACTTTAACAAAATTATAAAGATAAAACGCATTTTTCAAGTCAAAATACAACATATATAATAAAATTTTGAAATACATTTCTCTTCAGTCAAATCTAATATTTCTTGAAGTAAACTTACAGCTAAACGAAATCCTCGAGCTGTTTTTCCACCTTGTGGAGCTTTTCTTACAGCTTGCATCAATTTATTATAAGATTCTGTGTATTCCAATTGAACAGCTTGGATGCGGCCTTATAAATAGAAAAAATTTATATTAAAAAAATAGAGAGGGGAACGGCGGTGTATGTACACTCCAATGTGCATGAAAAAATTAACTTTAAAAAAATTTATTTAAAAAAAATGAGGGGAATGGCGGTGTATGTACACTCCAAAGTGCACGATGCCTTTTATTTTTACATCCAATGGAAAGAAAAAATTAAATTAAAAAATATACAACTTTTCTATTTTGTTTTTTCCTTCTCTCTCGATAAAAACTTTACTTTTGTAACGTATGTACACAATAAAAGTGTTTAGACATTCTCACATCCTTTATCCTTTGTTTTCTATATATTTCCTGTGGATTTGAAGTTTATAGAGAGCTTACCAATATAATATAAATAACGAGCATATTGTGCATTGGAACGTAAATTCTCAACAAAAACGGTTTTGTTTGCCTAATAGCAGAAATTTAGACAAACGCAATAAAAAAAACGAAACCATGAAACGAAAGCCATGAAAAACAGGAAAAATGAAAGTGTGAACCATGAAGAGGAATGTAAATATCAAAAACAAAATTTTGAATTAAAATTAAAATATACACCGTGTGCTTTGACAGGAGGCATAGTTCAAGTACTTGCTTCTTCTTCTTTTATTTTTTTCTCATTTCATACAAATTTTAGTATATTAAAGGGAGTACATCCAGTAGAAAAAACAAAGAGAGACTACACGGCAGTTCTTCTCTACATCGACGTACCAACTTCAAAGCCAATTCAAACAAATTGTAATGCAAATAATTTCGTAACAAAAGATTCAACATCGTAGCCTGAGAATACGTATCATGATGAATACAGGCTTTACGATAGGCTGTCAATAATTCTCTGCAAAAAAAAAAAAAAAAAAAAAAAAAGTGAAAATGTCTCTACTGTATGTACAGAAAGTTTATATATGAAAAAAAGGGAAAATGAAGAGAAGAAACGTGAAGAAAATAAAATCCAATAACTTAAAATCCAATGAAAACACATAAAAATATTCAATACAATTCATCGTAAAATCCATGACAAATTTTGAAAATGCAGCAAGAAAAATCCTTCATTTTCATCCTCCCATTCCTTAAAAGTTTACACACAATAAGACGTACTGTCGTATGACGGAAAGAGAATTTGTCAATTCATAGGATCGTGAATAATAAAAATACACCTACGAAACACACACACCATACACACCTTAAGAAAACAAAATTGAAACTATATACTATGATTGACAGTATTATTTTTTTTTTAAATGATTGAAATTATCTTATAGCAAGAAGATTGCCCACAGCCATGTCTATCTCTACACATTCCTCCATCCTTTCATTTTGGAGGGGAGGTGCACATTTTTTCTCTTCTTGATCCATCGTCTCGTATGGAATGCTATGAAAAGAGATGAGAAAAATAGGAATGAATGTAACAAAAATGGGCAGCATTGGATGATAAATCTTCTTTACTCATTGCTCATAAAGTTTCGTAGACATTCCTCTCTTCCTCTACCCTCGATTTTCCCCAGTAAAATGTATACTTTCTTGAAAAAATTCATGGAATTTCTGCCTTACTTTAGCCACCAACATATCCAATGAACGACGATTGTAAAGTTTCAATCGCTCAATCAAAGCATCTGCAACAAATTTAGCCTGCATGCAAACAAATTTCATTTATAATGGAAACGGAGAAAGAATAGACAGGTACAAATATTTTCAAAATATTACAGAGATGTGTATTCATAGAAAAATTTGTTCCAAAAGATACTTTTTAAAAAAGGTAAATCCACCCTTTAAAAGAAGATAAATCCACCTTTTCCTTTTACCATGGCAAGTGCCTGTAACTCCGGTATTGTCGTTGCTTCTTTATCCCATTCAGATATCATTCATCCATAGTTTTTTCTATTTACCACTAAAATTAAGGAGTAAAAAGTAACTATAGGAAATGTTACTAAAATTTTGATTTTTTTTTTTGGATAATTACTACCGTAGAGAGATACAAAAAATGAATACTTAAAATGTTCTCACCTCTTGGTAGAATTTCCGATCAATATGATTAATTAAAACCAGCAAAGCCAAGAAAATTTCTAGTTCAGGCAGGCATTCCTTGAGAATATTCAAATCACATTTCTCTCTAAACTGGTTGATTTCCTATGAAAACCATTCGAAACACACACAAAATAACACTATCAATAGGTATACATACCAAAGAATAAGATATCTTTCATAAGAAATAGGACGCAACAAGGAGGCACTTTTAAATAGAGACAAAGCAGAGAGAAAAAATTGCGTGCATGTTGAATACTTTTCATCATCAATTTTCGCATACATTAATCAGAATTGGGCAAAGTACTATCAAGAGAAATTCCAAAATGGTGAAGTGATAAAGTTAAAGGGATCCTTCAATGATGAATGTGAAACATACACGCATATGCTTACCGTGCTTGTCAGATTTCCATTAGAATGGGCAGTAGCAACAGAAACAAAACTGCCAAGTATAGCTCCCAAAAATGATCGAGAAGATTTTAATGCCTTTTCTTCCACAGGTACCGTAGAGACAACGTCCTTATGAAAGGTAACATTATTATTTATTGATTTTGCAACTGCAATGAATTCATCTACCCCTTTAGTTCTGCTTGCATTCTGCGTGTTCAGATTCAATTTCAAAAGAAGTGCATTCACTAGTTCACAATGATGAGAAAATGAAAAGCTTTTTCGCAGTTGCGGAAGTAGCCGAAGCGCTCTAAGAGTAAATCGGGCATCTTTACGGGATACAGAGGAGTTAAGGAGCAACAGCGACTTCGTTAGGTAAGTTGTAAAAGGCGAATGGCTTGGGGTAGTGCCATTTGGTAACGCCTGCTGGGCAATTGCTGTATCAGCGGAAACTGACGGAGGAGGCGATTCAGCAGAAGAAGGATTCATCGGAAGATCTCAGGAGGCAATTACAGCAAGGCAAACGGTAGTAAAAGAATGCAAGAAATTTCGCGTTACCTTTTGATAAGGTGGAAAAAAAGGTGTCGAAGGTGCTGCTTGATCTACGAAAATGTACGTATACGTTATGGCGAAAGAAAGAAAGCTCACGCAACCTTTCGATGAAGAGGGAAAAATGATATTGAAGGTGCGACTCGCTGTATGAAAAAATGTAGCTACATGCTACTTACAATACTGAGAGGAATGAGCAGAGGTTGAGGGGACTGTCAACAGATAGAAAGCAGCTAGCTATTTCTGGGTTGTTTTGTACAGCTATATAGCAGTTCTCGTCCTGGAAGAGGAGCCTATAGTTTGTACACAATACACAATGCGCCTTTCACATAGAATTCCCTATCTTTTTCTGTATTGTATAAACTTGGGGGTATTATTATCATGAAATTTATTGAATTGAACACCGTAGATAATAAAGGGTATGCAATATAAGATTTCATAGGTTAACACGCGCTAGGATGACCTGACCAAAATTTGATAGAGTGGTAGTAATGCCAAGAATTGTTTATACTAAAAGTTAAAATGTAGCTTTTCAGTCATAAATGTGTTCCTGCTGCATCATTTGCCATTGTTTCCCAAAATTTTGCTACTTAATTTTCAAGAAAAAACACGAAATTTAAATAAAGCAGCTTTCCCAACTTGGAAGCCGTTTCTAGTATCTAAATTCAACTGATTTCTATTTGGGGAGTGGTGAGTATTATGGCAATTAAAAATTCTTAGAAAGCAAAAATCAGTTGTGTAGTTTCATTGTGTTTAAAGATTAAAAATTGAATATAAATAGAAGAAAAGATGCATCTAATAGTGACTATATTTCGTAAAAGATAAACGTGTCCTATGCCGCCTAAATATGAAGTGATAGTGATAATTCCAAGCACATCACTTTGTCATGGGTTGTCAGAATATTTAAGAATAGGATATATAAATGGTTTCCCTGAGTCAATACTTGTTTGAGTAATCTGAATTATTTATCATTTATTGAATATGAATTAGGTAAGTACATGTTAATAGAGCAAAAATATAGTGTTTCTGAGCAACGCAGCCATGATGCTTCAATTCAGACTATGCGCAGTATAGAAGAACAATTATAATATTCTTCTTCCAACATATCATCAGTGCAAGCAGGTAATACCGTCTGTGTCAAAGAGTTATCTCTCAACGAATGAGCACGAATCAGCAATATCTATTCTTCCCAAGAGTAATTCGCAGTAGCTTTCATAGGCAGTGTGACCGAGTGGTTAAGGTGATGGACTAGAAATCCATTGGGCTCTGCCCGCGCAGGTTCGAATCCTGCCGCTGTCGCTTTTTTATCACAATTGAAATGCGTTAATTTATCGAACATTTCTGATATCATAAGAGAATTCTTTCAATTATTGCGCTGCTTGCCGCAAAAATTTACTCTTCATAACTATGCGCAATATCAAATATTCTATGAAAGAAATTCCTTCTATACTTACAAGTGATGCTTATTGCTGCGCACGAATAAGACTGGTAACTGAGATGCAAATTAAGCAATTTCGAAAAGACGAGTACTAACCTAATCATCAAGTTGCAATGAGATATGTAAGAATAGAGATTAATGCAAAGTTAGCTTTTTATTCAAAATTGTATATACGAGGAACAGTGACTGGATTATTTTTCTTTCATACAGGTGGAAGTTGAAAGGAGCAATCGAGAATAAATTACGGGTCCTGAAGATAATTATTTTGAATGTATTAGATCTAGTTGATAAAAAGTACCTTAAAACAGTAAAATTGTACGAAATGAAGTGCATTTACATTGCACTCTGCAAACCGTAGAAAATATCAATTCGTAATTCTAGCGATAGTGCCAAACTACTTCCCTGTGGTCACCCTCGGATAATACGGACAGACAGTCGCCACTATAGAAGAACTGCGGCGAAATTCACGAATATCCTGCTAAAACCAGTAACGTAATCGTACATCCATGCCACGTGTACCAGACAGAGGAAACAAAGTGGAGCAACACATTTTTTTACGTATCTCTCTCTAAAGATTTGCAGTAGAAATTGATGTATAGTATATTAGAAAAGAAGATGAGCGTTACGTAACAGTGACTGCGGTACTAGATGAAAATTACGGCTGAAGGTAAGCTTTGAACAAAATATTGTCACAGTGTGTTTTTCATAAAGCAGGAGGTGCTGCAGGCTGAATGCAACGGCAACGCAGTGGCGATTGTTTTAATTTACTTTAAGAGGAGACTGTGCGAGAAAATTTACGAGAGATCAAAAGCCATAATATTATCTACAAAAGTTAATAGGGGTGGTTGGCGCAGTCGGTAGCGCGCGGGTCTCATAATCCCGAGGTCGTGAGTTCGAGCCTCACACTACCCATAAAGTGCTTTATTTAGAAATATCAACAGTATCTTCTTTCCGGGTTAGACTAAAACTTATTTTTTGTCTCTATTCCCCCGTCACGTAAAACTATGATCAACTATCATTACAAAAACTTTGGTCGTCAGATCGTATTTTTCATTCTGTTGTACGCATTGTGTACTCACGTTCTGTTAGCTTGTAGTGACGAAGCTTTTCGATGTATTTCTGTTCAAAATCAGGAAATGCATGTACAAGCTCCAAGAAGAGAAGAATTATTAAGATTCAAAAATGGAAGTTGTCTATTCTAATGAAAAATAGACAATGGTCCCGGACGGTCTCGAACCGTCGGCCTTACGGTTATTAGCCGTACGCTCTAACCAACTGAGCTACGGGACCTTATTTGTTACTTAAGAACCATTAAATCCAGATTTGTGTACAATATAAAACATAGAAGAAGTTGTAATGATATTACATTAAAATGGTCCCGGACGGTCTCGAACCGTCGGCCTTACGGTTATTAGCCGTACGCTCTAACCAACTGAGCTACGGGACCTGTACATTCATAGTAGAAACGTATGTATTATATGAATTTACTTCTAACTTTTAACTGCTCAATAGTACCATCGGGTAGAAAATGGACCCGGACGGGCTTGAACCGTCGGCCTCACGGACATAAGCCGTGCGCTCTAACCAACTGAGCTACGGGTCCTTAAAATTTCAAGCATCACGAGAAATTAGTTATCTATTCAGTATTCTTTTGTTTTTGTTCTTCTCTGTGTAGCAACTTTCAAAATTATTTCATCTATATTCACTTTTATTATCCGCAAAATTCCCAAACGCTGGATAAGGGAGGATATGCTTTGTCGCCATTAAAACAGCAATTCGGCTGTACTACTGAAATTGAACGTATGTTGTTATTGATGGGAGATTACATGCATAATTGACAATCTCTTGTGTTGTTTTGCGCCTTTTTCCAATGCATAAGAAAATATCGAACCCAACCACATAACTCATGTCTAATTGCATACTAAATTATTTACTTTAATAAAAAACTATAATGGTATCATTAAATCTTACAGCACAGAATTCCATATACTCTTATAAACTAGATGATTTTTCATAATTCCTCAAAAATTGTCCAAAAAGGTGTATAATTAAAAAGGAAAAATTCACAAAAAGAATAACAAACACCACATTGATAAAGTTTTGGAGCATCATGAATTTATGTAATGGTGTTCTGAAAAGTTGGCTTACTTCATGGGTTCCCATTTAAAGCATGATCTCCACAAAACTACTTTAAGTTTAAAATACTTTCCGTGTAATCAAAGGATGCTAAAAATGATTTCCGCATATTTACAGGAAAATAACACAGTAAATTTACCTTCAGTTACTGCTTTTATGAAGGGTGAGAACAGACATATTTTGAAAAGTTTGCAAAATTAGAAAGGAAATTGGACACTATACCATTCTAAAAATTTCTTCAGCAATCAATGCTTTATAACGAAAATTATTCTTTCTAAAACAACTATCAACTTAAGAAAAATATATAGAGATCCATAAGAATAAGGAGAGGAGAAAAAGGTATAAAAATATAATCTCTATAAGATATATAGAAACAATAGAATGGTGATGCCTTATATGTATCAATATCTAGCAAGAATTTGCGTAAATTATAATCATTAATGCAGAAACAGCAGTACAGCACCGTTAAAGATTCATTCATGTCTTTAGCGGGGGTAACAAACTTCCTTATACAACAAAGATATTCATAGTAAAAGAATAATGTTCTACATATAATTTTCGGATACAGTGACATAAAAATTCGAATCATTTTTAATTGTAAGCCTGTAGTTACGAAGCACACTTCTATGCAAGTATTTTTCAACTATTTGATGCGTACGTCTTTTGATGCAGCGGTAGACGAACAAAACTGTCCGTAATACTGAGATAATCATCTGGAATCTACATATACATGGCATAAGCACATGACAAAAACAATAAAATAGCGAAAATAATAATAATAGGGCGGGGATCATTTTTCCATAAAAGCTAGAAACAATTTACATTCATAAAAACATGTCACTTCTCGCACAACTTTTATTCGTATAAAACTAAAAGATTTTATCACCCTTCGCTCAAATGTATCCAGATGGAACTATACTCACGCAAGCTAGGCATCTGTTGAGTAGGATCTCCTTGGAAATTTTGCATGAAGGATTTGATGATAAATAAGCAGAAACCACCTGATATTCACACAAAAATAAAGTTGCTAGCACGAACATAACTTAAAATACAATTATTGCAAAACGACATTATACTTTTAAAATTACAATTCCATCGTGAAATTAAAATTTACCACTCGTAATCAATATTAAAGCTGATTTCCAAAAGGTACATACTGCTCTCCGCAGCCACTAATAAACTTAAACTCCACACTTTAGCAAGGAAAAAGAAAAATCACATTAATGTGCGATTCTACATAAAAACAGGTTGCAGCAACGAAATTCACTCAGGAAATTCTTAGCCCAAACTTTCCGAAATAGTTCAAATAAAGTTCGTATTAGTTTTACCACACGAGAAAGCTTCGAATAACGTAAAGAATGATTCCCTTGCGCACGTAGGGCTTCGTCTATCAAATTTAACCAGCAATCGTCCCAACTATTATCCCCTGTACCGGAATTTGCAATGTATGCATCTTGCATTTCTTTGTTATTTATCTCCATTTTTGCGCATTGAGTATTCTTGTCAACCACAGAATCTTTCAAGATGCTCACTGATGTAGCAGAACTCTTTTCAGATTTAGCTCGTTTTGAACGAGAATAAGGGCCTTTATATTTGTCTTCTTCTAAACATTCTCACGCATAAAAAGAAATTGTTACAAAGTAAAGATTTATCTTTACGGGCACACCAATCCAATATATGTAAAAAGGCAAAAAAGCGAAATGTACTTATCCACTGAACAGAGTATTTTCTAGAAAGAGTGGAAATATTTTTATAAAGTATAATAAATCACGGATATTTTAACGCATTCGCTGCGGTAAGAAAGTTAAAATGGTTGCAAAATGAACTCATGCATCCGAACTGGGTATATTGTAATGCAGAAAGATTGAGGGTTCAGTGAGTACATATTAAGCATAAATTCTTACCACTAATACATGAAGTGTGCTCCACATATGCGTACCCTTCAAATACGCAATTACAATCAATACACGTAAAATTCCAGGCATTTCTGCATTGCCCATGCAAGCAGTGGCTCTCTATTGCGCGTTTCTTTAAAACATCTTGGCAAATATCGCAAGTGAAAGACACCATTTTGATCCAGAAGCTTACGTGAATAAGTATCGAGTTATCTCAGGCATTGCAATGGACAATTTATTGTTTTGAATGCTATACAGCAGACATAGTTTCAACGATCTTATTCGTCCGGGAGAGATTCGAATGCATCACGCAATCTTCCACAAAAACTTCAGTAGGGAAGAGTTCAGTAGGCAGAGAAAGAGGAGTCAACGTCGAAGAAAGCGCTGAAACACTGCAAGGCATCTCGTGTCGTTGAAGCAAAGTACTGATAAGAAACAACAAAATTCAAAGAATGTTATTCACTCTGCTCCCGTATTGTGTAGGTTGGATAATTGTGAAGAGCATTTGGAATATTCAAAAGATAGAGCGTGCGCCATAGATCACCGCAGCTTACCACGGGCATTCCCCGCTTGCTCGTATTGCCACATTAATTTGTTTGTGTTCTACCGTAGGACAGAATTAGTTCTTCCTGCAGCCTCACCGGTCTTCGTCATTCATTCATGACGATGGCCACCACATAAAGTTTGTCTGCTGTACAACTAATTTATCGACATGACAACGGAATTTTCGGTGTGCAATTATTTACACCCGTCAATTTGTTTAATAATTTACTGAGGATACGCTCATATGGTGATTTTCCATGTTCATGCTTTAAATTTGTTTTTCTACCCCTTGTTTGCGTGAATCGCACACTTTTTATCTACGTTACGTAGTCTCGTGTATTGTGTTCGTAATAGAAGCACGAAAGAATTACTTGTTATGTACTGTGTTTATTTCGATTGTTACTGCAACTTTCTAGAAAAATACATACGCTACCTTATAGGAAGTAATTGACTGTTTTTGGTGGATAGTTGCAGTGTATACTTTTCTTTGAAGAGAAGTGCTCAGTCTTGCAATAGTAAACCATGAATGGCAACTAACGCTGCGGAAGAGAAAGGGACATACGCGTTGCCTGTTGAGAAAAACCGATGTAACAAGAAGAAACAAATTTTCAACGAAGCTCCACCTCGAACTGGCGTATTACCGCAAATCAATTTCCTCTTGCAGGCAGCTGGAAAAACAGCACTTATTAACCCCAACACTTCTCGTTTCTTTGTGAAAACTGCAAGAGAAATTGCTCGGAAGCATGTTATACGCCTGGACCCATCAGTGAATCAGCACTTTTGCAAGGGATGCAATACATTTCGTCTTCCAGGTAAAACTTGCATTTACCATACCATTTCTCCCTCGCAACGAAACGGTTTTAATTTTCCTTACTCTCCACACAAACGGCAGCGAACTTTAAAATCTCCTTTGTATTCATTTCAAGACAGCCTTCAAAATGATCTTTCAAAAGCTCCTAATTGTACAAACTCAGATCATAAAAAAGACGGAGAAAACTCTTCATTTTTCATAGACGAACCGCCAGATAGTCAAGAGGATGATCCCTCTGTTGCTACGCTCATCTGTTGTTGTACAGTGTGTGGTCGCACCGGGCGCATAAGCGCCACTGCTTCCAGTCTCCTTGGGCCTATTTGAATACGTGAAATTTTTAGTTTCAAGCATGGATAGGTTCTAAATTTTCATTGCGATTTCAAAACACTGAAGTTTTTCGTTGCTAGAAATGAACACAGGGCACACACGCTTTTTCTGGGTAACTTTTGTATATGTAATGTAGCCTTTCGTTTTATGAGAAAGCATCCATTCTTGTAATCAATAATGATCTTAACGGTGCTACAAAAGACCTCAAAGATGTTTTAAACCAAGGAAGATTTGGCTTCCAGTGTGAAAGTTTCCCCTCTTCATCCCTTACTTTTTCTTATTTCGGATTTGGTGAAATGACACTACAAGAGAGTATAGAAAACTACATTCTTGCGACTTTCAAGCACTCCGGTTCACTTAACATTAGGGTGTTAGTATCCTTACATACTTTTAAATCCTACGCTATTAACAGCATGCCCGCCTTCCATCCTTTGCAGATTTTCCTTTTTTTTATTCCACACAGAGCCAAACCCAAGCAAAGCCCCTTCCCCTCTTCACAATAATTGTTTCCTTCCGGTGAATATTCATCCTTTGTTTTGGTTAATTTTATAGCCCATTACAAAAGAACAGCATGCAATGAAAACTTTCAGATATTGAAAATGCCACCAGAAAATAATCGAGCAAACGTAAAAAAACGAAAAGATATTTCTGTTAAGAGGGCAAAAAATTGTTTGCCACAAAATTAATGCATGTATTAAAATTATTAGAAAGGCGGTACATCCTATAGATTCACTCAAGAAAATCACAGAAGAAACAAACATCAAAAAATATTTTCGCGTCGACCAATACATTCATTTCACAAATTCATCTAATAACTAGCAGATCGAAATAAATACAAATAAAAAACATTGAAAAAATAAATGAAACGATGCTTAAAATAGTATACCTACA